TGAAACTAACAATACTGATAGTTTTTTTGTTCCTTGAAGTCCTGACCTGACCTGGCGAGACGTACAACACATCATAGTATGGACATCTGAGCCCGCGCCTTTAGAAGTCCCAGAAGCCAATGAGCCAACTTTCAAAACAAACAAAATTGGTTTGAAAGTGGATGAAGTTTTTGGATTTGGGCTCCTAAATACGGACGCCATGATTAAACTAGGCTGATCCGGCAACTTGGCAGACTGTCCCGGAATGGAAAGAATGTGTTATCACGTCTGAAGATGCCAAATTTACACAAAGGTGAGGTATCGTATAATGGGAGCACAGACGAGAATATTTCTATCATATCAATGCAGTTTCATTTTCTCCTGTCGGGCAGTTATGTGCGTATTCCAAGTAATTCATAATTTTCTGTTTAACCTCGGCTAAAGTTTCACCAATAGTTTTTGAAATGAAAATGAACTATGAATTAAAAAAAAAGAACTAAGTGATATTAACATTTATGTATTTGCATATAATATCTACAATAACGAGAAATTAAAATCTGTTTGCCGAACAATCTGTGTACACATAAACCATATTTTTGTTTGGAATGCATGTTGACCAAGAATTGGTGAGTGCGAAATGGACGCGCATTATTTCACATCCACTGAAACCATCATAACTTTACAAATCAGTTTGTGATTCAATATTTCTGTATTTAAAACAAATATCTCGAAATTTCCATAATCGTGTTTCACCTTTTCTCTATGGACCTGCATATGACCTTGTATAAATATAAACAATATATTTAAGTATCAGACATTTTTCAAAACTTCAATAGTCAGAATAGTTTTAAAAAGGCATAATAGCAACTAAATTGACTGTCAGGTAATACTTTAGACAAACATTAGTATAGCATATACACTGTCATATTTTCATATATCTCAGCTTCCAGGTGATATATAGGTTGTTATAGAAGCATGCTTAGTAACTTTCAGGGGAGTTAGATTCACAGATAAATTTTTGACACGTTTTACTCCGACCTATTGCTTCATTGAGTGCCCTCTTACATAAGGCATTTCAGTCGTTTCGTTACAATGCGTGATGTAATTGTTTGTGAATAACGAAGTCGGTCTCGGTAATCTCGGGGAAAATATGTGATGCAAACAAGACTTATTTCAATGTACAACTTTTGTTATTTACGTATATACACGCATCACCCGTTTGCTCTTTTATCCTAGCCATATACCACGAGGCGGTGAATTAAAATTTGACATCGACACTACCAAATGCATGGATACGAGTTCTTCCTCGGTTAATTACCTTGAGCATGCGCAGTTCACAGTTACAATTACTCACCCAAATCGCGGTAGTTTGGCTATTGACATGACATCACCACAAGGTAAGTCTTTAACCAATTCCTAATAGCAACCGTACGAATATTTTACCAATACGAACGCCTATAACTGTACTTGGGTATATACCACCCAACGTGAGCGGCGCTGTCGTGTGATCAAGCGAAACACTCCTGGTCGCCCTGCAATTACACATTTACATCATCTGCGTTATATGACGGTGTTGTGTTACTATTTAAGGTACTGAAGCGATGCTTCTTTCGGCGAGGAACCAGGACCGTTCCAAGGATGGCTTCAAAGACTGGACGTTCATGTCTGTACACACTTGGGGTGAGAATCCAATCGGTCTTTGGAGTATATATATCAGAGACGTGGTAAGAATATGTGTAATTTTGCACACACAGACATTATTCCCATAGGACTGTATTTGATTTTCATGAAAATTGGTCAATACCACTAAATACTCTTTATAATGTTTGTATCATGAAGTTAATGGTTTTTCGGTACTTTGTTCAGTTTATTTTTCACCCGATCGGCATAGTAATAGCGACTGATTATGCTAGTGTTTGTTTACTGTTTTCCCCATTTCCGTACTAGCAAACAAGTCTTGGCCGTGCAGATAATTCAGGTATATTAGTAGAGTGGAAACTGACTGTACGAGGAACCACAGAAAAACCGAACCACCAGCCCGACGGTGGACGCGTGTACGGAGCTGATTACAACAGCGTTAAAGACGATAGAGGGGTAAGCGGGACAGACTTGTTTTTATATTATTATTAAATTACTGTTTTGATGTTAAGAAATATATGGTTAATTTGTGATTTCCTGAACTTGAAAGCATACCTTTAAACATTTTGCGTAAGAAGTATTTATTTATAGTTAGAATTTTCTTTATCGAAGAATTCTCTCTAAGGTCTATATATGTCGCCCCTAAACAATCAAAAGTTTAAATTTTACTCAGGATATGCAATTTCTTGTCCGATTCGACCAGAAGGTCGTGCGATGATGATCTCGTCTTATCATTATCAATCGGAGATAAATATTTTTCGCAACAAAAGTGTATCTTAAAGCCTTGTCAAGCTTTGGGTAATTCTGCATATCAGAAGAACATGATTGTGTATACAAATCGTGAACTGTCAGCTTAAAATGCGTCAAATCAAGAACTAAGTCATAAGAAAACAATAGACATTATTTGTTTACATTGATACTGGTAACTCTGTTATACTTAACGATGCAGGTATATTTTTAAAACTTTTAACCAAAACAATAATAATTTGCGAGTACCTTACGTAAATTAAAAAAAGTCTACCCAATTTACCATAAATAAAAAGATTCGTTGTATTGGCAAACACATCAAAAAGAAATTTACAAAATTTAAGATGCGTCCTTTCGACATTTCCCTCGTTATCCAAATCCTCAAATATTACTCTCATACATTGATATTAGTAACACCTTGAAATTAAAAAAAAATATATAAACTGGTTCATTAATGAAACTATATTTAGATAAGACGTGTTTTAGAGCAGACATTGATTTCCATGCTCTTTTTACCAAGAGTTTTTTTTTTGGGGGGGGGGGCACTGCAAGAGAATGTAAAACACAACTAAGCAAACAAGTAAACAACTGACAGTCTGAACATATGTGCTCTATGGCAAATAATGAAGGTGAATTTAATTTTAATTTCGTAATTACATCTATGCATACGACATTATGCGAATGGTTGGGAAATGACGTCACCAATGAAAATATTTCTGGTTACATGGAAGCAATTTCTTTGAAAGTTCGCAATGCTGTAACATGGGCTACGTTTCTTTCTAGGGCATTTCGCCTGATTAGAACTAATCGAATATAAAGTAATATATGACGTTTGCTCGGCAGTGCATTTTTTCGAATATATCCGTACTCGTATTCGCACTTTACAATTATAGTTTTGAATTATTATAGTATTCAAGTACTGTCACGGTTCCACTTGTGTGAAACATCACTTTCAGAACGAGATACATGTACAACCTAAAATATGTAAAAACGTGTTGTTTGGATTGAAAAATATATTAAAAGTAGATATCCCGCCCTCATGATGATCTCATTTTATTTTGGTAGTATCGGGGGTCCTTTCCTGAATACAAAATAACTGAACATCAAAGATGTTTATAAATCTAACTTAATTAAGAGACTCCTTACATATCCACAATATTTTATTTTTAAAATGGTTTTATAAAATACCATGTTGTGAGCCACATCGGCTGCCGTACATTCCTCACTATTTCAGTAGTTCTATCAAAACCCAGGGCCTTGTCACGGTTTAGTCTCGACATGAACATTTTGAGTTCTAGAAGTGTTATGTAATTATCAGGAATACTATTATTCACATCTAAATATAATCTAAATATTCGTCATTAATAGTTCTAAAAATCTCGAATAATAATCGTACTTGCTTGTTGAATGCCAAGGAGTAATGTGCGAAAACTTTCTTGTCAGAATGATCGGTAAATTAATAAGAAAAGAATCATCATGTTAAACGTTTGTCGATAGAGGAGAGTAGTAAATTAAAAAGATGGCTCATCATCGGAAACGTGTCAAAATATCACAATAAATTCGTGGAGAAAATAAAATCATTCAAGTGAACTTGAACACGACCTTTTTGTTTGGTTGTTTCAAGTTGTGTTCGAATAACTATTTTACCGCAGAATGTTCATATGTTTTGTTTTGTTTTTTATACATACAAATGATTTCTCTACGCAGAAGGGACATGGCAAGCACTAGGGAAAGGTTTGGAAATATTTCGATTTTCCATGCATGCCGAAATGTTGGTATTTGGCACGACACTCGCATGTGATCACGTGCACGTGGTTCCGGGTGGTGGACGCTACTGTGTCACGTGGTGTTGGTAACATTCTATGCATTCAGGTGGTGGGGGTGTACTCCTGTGTTTTAAACAGCCGTCGAGCTCATTTAACATCGTAGTTTCTGGTGTTGTTAGAGGAAACAACTGTCCATAATCGAATCAGGTGTGCAGTTTGGCAAGGCGTGAAATATGCCCTGTATATGTCATGCATAAACCCTGATATTAGTCTGCGATGAAGCGAAGTTGAGTGCATCAGTTATCTCGATGTTCGACGCGTCTGAAATATTAAAGGGCGCCGCGCATGTGCGACATTTGTGTTGATAAACATTGATTTTCCCACAATCCAATGCGCTCTTCTAAAGGAAACTCACAAATATGAGGTTTGACCTGGGCGCGACTTGTACTAATTACCGCCGATGACTCTTTTGATAACTTCCAATCACCTTAAAAATACATAATTAAATTTTGGTAACGTCTCAGTTTGTACTGGTTGGTCTGCGCAACAGCCAAAGTCGCCATCTTCGTTTATATGAGACCATATATCTAGCGCATGCGTGGCGCAACGACTACTGCCCTGTAAAAATGATATACTTTCAATCTTGCCATTATAGAGTGAATCGTTGTTAATCCTGGTGGGTTCATATCGTTACATTTTCTGTCTCATCTATAAGTGTACAAGGTTTCAAAATCTATGAAAATCTTCTAAATATACCCAGGGGGAGTAATATATTTTCTGTACGCAGGATATCTCCCATTACTAAGTCCACTTATATTGAACATTTTATACCACCCGGGAAAATAATGGTTGACTCTTTAATGCGTTGGTGCAACTTGAAGCAACACGCCAGTCGGGCGTTCTGCATGTGTGGATTACCAGGTTACTTCCCCGCAACATACATTTTCAAATCAGTCGCACCCTTTACGGCAAAAGCTTGCATGACGTAACTGGGTGTAAGAAGGGACGCCGTTCTTGTCGTCAATACTATTGTGATTCGTGGTCCGTCAATGTAATTAAAAAGATAACTAGAAGTGCTTTATATTCTGAAAGACAACTTACTGCACAGCAAAAAGAAGTTCGCTGTTGGAACGACTACGCGTACGTTATGTTGACGTCAGAGGCACAACTTGCTGGGAAGTAAGTCTCTAGTGGTGCGACAGAAGTCTAAAAAGGCTCATAGTTTAATTCTTATTATAGCTTGAATTTTGTCGTTCAAAAAAAAAAAAAAAAAAAAAAAAAACGGACGAACCAGTCGATGAAGCATGCTAACAACTGTAATAAAAGTGGCGCTATCTAGAGACGAAAAATGACGTAACAACTGACGTTTGTTTGTGTAGTCGTTCGTCGTTTGGAATATCAAATCAAAAACCACATTTTTTTAAATAATGGACGACCACAGATCAAAACAGTATGGCGCCCTTACACCTATATACGTCATAGAGGCACCTTTTGCTGGAGGGGGGGGCATAATGTGGGTTATCATTTTCATGACTTCGTGTCAAGTTACGAAATGTATACTGTGCATTATAGATTAAACCATTCACTGACTTGAAAAAAACAAACAACAAAAAAACAAACAATTATACATACCAAATGTCCTCTTTAAGACCCAGTTTCAAAGTTATGTTTCAAAATTGAATGCATGTTGGTACATACATGATACATACAATGCTAGAACTAATGTTTATATCTAACACTCATCAACATTTCTTAGTAAGTACACCATGCTTTTCAACCTGTCCACTGTCTTTGATTTTACATCGCACTTATTTCAAATTATGATTATATGGCGTTCTTTAATTGTTTAGTTTTATTTCGTTTCCAGGCGTCAGTAGAAGAATCGGAACCGGAACCAGAATTGACTGGAAATCTTAACAACGGTATCATGGGTATTTACAACACTGCACAGCAGTCCGATTCATATATCGACGACTTTAGCCACGACAATGACGACGATTCTCTGGAAAACGAAGTATATCAAACAGACGATCCGGACAACCTTAATATCTTTGAAACCTATCAACTCTTACAAAACTTAAAAGTGGAAGCCGCCATGAAAGAGTTCGAAAAAGCGGAAATGTTGCAATATCTTCTGAAAAAAGGAAGAGATTCATAAATTGTCTTCTACGAATTTAAAGAGAAAAAAACAACAAAAATCATTCGGAATGGTTACGTTTAAAACTGCCTTATATATTAATTTATTTAACTATAATTTTGGATGTCCTGACTATTTAAAATCCCTAACACATTTGCGAGAGAGTACAGAAAATGGCCGAATTTTTGTTTACCGAATTCTCTGAAATATTGTTTCGGCGGTTGCCCGGCAACTTCACGAATAGCCCAATCTGATAAGTTATTTACATGCTTGCCTTGTATTCCACTTCAATACACCTTGCATGCATTTTAGACTCGTTTTCATCTTTCTGGGAATGCTATGTTAGCACGAGAGTTGTGGTGGTTGCGGGTGGTCTGGAGTAAGATGGGGTGCCGAGACCGTGACAGAGATGTGTGTGTGTGTGGGGGGGGGGGGTATCCATGCCTCAGAACTGGGTTATTGTGGACATGAATTGATCATCCAGAATTAGTGGAAACATGGGATTCTGATTAAAATAATGATAGTTGCATTTTTTTTTCTTTGCGGTTTGTAAAAAGGTACTAAGTGCATTTCTGTGTGATTTCACACGTGGTAATGATTATTTCACTACCTCATTCTCATTTACAAAGGACCCCGGTGTTTCCCCCCTCCCCCGGATAAAACTGACTCGGATTGAAAGAAATAACCACAGCCCAGAAAAGTGCGGTATGGCAGGCGCTGCGTACCGCATCTGCATGTTTGCAACCGCTGGCGCGGTGCGCGGCTGGCCTTCCCAGACTAGTATAAAAACTGTTTTGCTTCGTCTTTAATTTGACTGTTTAATATAGACCCCCGCATCCCCGCCCGCCTCATACATACAAACATGTAGTCAGTATCTGAAATATGTGAGAGAACGGTAACATTTCTGCTGTTATATCTACTTTCATAAGAATATTTACACTTGTGAGAATAGGTGAATTGATTTTTCAAAACATACTCCACAACAAAAATGTACAGTGTATATACACACACAGAGGGTATATAATTTATTGATGTTGCTGATGTTGTAAATGTGTATGATAAATGGACCTGGAATAAAATCGTAATGAAGAAGGAAGTAAACTGTTTTATTGTCAATCCATTCGCGAAGAATAATGAATGATTATGAGATAACATGTCGGTTACGATGGAAACATCTGTTTAGTATTTCCCCGTTTCGTATTTTGAGCGAATTTAGATAAAAGTTGGAATTATTCAAAGGCATTTTGCCGGGTATTTACTGAATTACCCGTCACTTAGCTGTGGCTCCATAGTGTCAGTCTTTAGTTTTTGTGATGGTATTTTAGTCATTTCAGATATATTTTGTGACATTAAATGTGTTATTTTCAGATACTAGGATTGTTATCGACACAGACTAGAGCTCTATGGTTCCTCCCTGGCCCATTGCCTTGCATAACTCAACGTAATTTTCTTGCATCAAACCATCGAAGCTATCGCCAATCGATAATATGTTTATTAAACTCTCGCCAAAGCCAAAACTATGACAAAAACAATTGTTTCTGTGATGCTCTTTTTCCCAGGATTTAGTGCGCCGGACCACACGTAACTCCGGTGGCAGCCATTTTCTTCAGGTCGAACGAGGTCACTTTGACGTCACTGGAGAAGGTATACAAATAGCAGACAACCATCTCCTTCAATTTTAACTGTTCCACTTTCCGAGGGAAGTTCCAACACAGTAACGTCATTAGCCAAGTAATTTTGTCCTCGATCGACCTAAAAAAAAAAAATGCTGTCAGTAGAGTTACATACGGTTTAGCGGTTTTACTCGGAAAACAACTTAAGAAACCGATAATTGTTGTCATGGTTTTCGCACTGATGAGTGTTTAATAAAAATAATATATCGATTGGTGATAGTGCTATATAAGAATGGTGTACTTTTATCGACTTTTATTCGCAACGCCATTATGGCGTCGCACGTTTGCCAGTGTGTTACGCCGCGGCAAGTCTGTGGGAAGAACAATAGCTATTCTGTGTCGATAACAATCTTTGTCCGAAAATAGCAAACTTAATGACACCAATCGTATCAGAAATTACTAAAATACAGAGACTAAAGTACAGAGACTAAAGGCTGACACAAGAAGAGCTACATGGACCCACAGCTATAGCCGTCACTATAGCCTGAATATATAAGCACTTCTCGTTA